CTCAAGGTGCAATTTTGTCGATCGTTGCAAGAAAAAAATCTTTTGAATTTTCCAAAATTTCCTTCAGCAATATTGTCAGGGTTTCATATCCAGTTGTTTCCTTGATGCAGAGGAAACTCCCTGCTCTTTCATCGCTCTCTCCAAATATGACATTTTGAAAATGATATGTTATTAAAACATGAATAAAGTAGTGTTTTGATGATACAAAAATCTGATGAATGCTCACTGTCTTCCTTCAGTGATGTGACGGTCCGTATCCTTTTTTTCTTTGATGAACAGTCTTTGGATAGATTAGTGGAGCCCCTGAAAGCCACATGGTTCTCAATTGTCAAATTGGCCCCAAATTGGTCTTGCTTCATCAGAGCCCCGACCTGATCAGATCTGTTAATCTGTATGTAGTGATAGCGCCACCTACTGGTTACAAGAAGTAAGCATCGTTTTAAACCTTTAATTTGATTGACATCAAATTTTCACCTTGTGGTCTGCAATTGATGGCGTGGACCATCATGTGTGATTGGTGGACTTGGTTCAGTATTGTGTGAAGGACGCAGGAAGTGAAGCATTTATCCTTCCCACAGGGTGCAAAACGCGTGCAACACACAGCCATTTCACCCAGTCCCCGACCTCCCTCCCTGGCGACTGCATCAGGTCTCGAGTTTGTGAGTGCTCGGGCCTGCTCCGTGCTGCTTCGCAGCCCTAGTTGAAAATGCTTTTCAACATTTTAAGCAAGCTTAGTATATTCTTTTTTGTACAATTTCAGAATGACATGAGAGTCTATATGTAAATCATATGTCATATGTAAAGTGCCTTGAGATAATGGATAGTGTGTATATAATAGTGTTTATTACATTATATCTGTACAGGAGAATAGTGCCTGGCTAATTCTACAGATACTTCCTTCTCTCTCTAAGCATGACCCAAGGTCAGGTTAAAGATAAAGGACCAACCAACAGTGCATTGTAATGTCAACGCTTAGGGACTTTCATATCTAACTCAGATTCCCTAGACAGAGAGGCACCAACTTAAACTCTTTTGGGAGGTAGGGTGGTACAGCTGTGCTAGGAGTCCAGTGAACTGACAATCAGGGTTCCTGATACACAAAGACACAGGGTGAACACAGGGTACGAAGAGCACAAGGCAAGCACGCGATAGCAACATGGTGAGTCTGACATGAGATACCACTGAGCGGAGAGTACGAACAGACGAGGAGTTGATGGTGAGCCAGGGGTGATTGAATGATGAGATACCGATGAGCCAGCTTCTGGACTCCAGGCCACGCCCACAGGACAAACCAACAGATAGACAAAACAGGGAGAAACCACAGGAGACACAAGGAAGAGGTAAACACAGGGAAAACATGGGGAAACATCCCACTGGAGGGAAGGGAACCATGACAGGAGATAATTTTGTGGGGCTCTGGCAGTGCTCCTTCTGTACCTCCTCGCAAAAAGGAGCAGATACCAGTCCTGCTGCTGGGTTGATGCCCTTCTACAGCCTAATCCATCTGTCCTTGTTTAACTGCATGGTATGTCTTCCATGCTTTTGAGATTGTGCTGGGAGACACAGCAAACCTTCTTGCGACCGCACATATGGATGTGACTTCCTGGACACTAGCAGAACGCAACATTAAAGAATTAGTTAGGAAGGATAAAGAGAGAGCAGCTGTCTTTAAAATTTAACTGAGGTGCTGTTATACTGAAACGATTAAGTGTTCCCTTCATTTTTTTGGGCAGTGTAGGTCTGCTGCAGTGTAATGTCTGTGTATTTATTGTGTTAGCTGACCCGAGCGGTTGAGGCGCCCAGAGAGGAAAAACACATGATACAGGTTCCGTTCAGACTTGAAGCTATTTTATTCACCCTGGTCCACAGGTGATAGAGCATTCCTACACATACTCAGACTGGCACAGGATTATTAATCTGTGCCCTCAGATTGCAAAACTGTGGGTACAGATTAATTAGCGGCATCTATTGCACAGGGGCATCTCACCAAAGTGTTTGCTCATTGTGGGAACTGTTGAGTTTCTTATTTTATATTATGTCTAAATTAAAACATACACGCCATTTAAATCATGCATTTACTAATTGTTGTACTTATTCATCTATGTAACCTGTGATAGAAAATTCACATATGAACTTTGCTTGAACTCTTTCCTATGTCTGATCAATGCTCGTCTGCTGTGTTCAACGATACCTCCTCATAGAAATACAGTTGTGCTCGCATAAGAGGAACTGTCTGGCATACGTGCAGACAGATGATTCAAAACTAGACAAATACCTTTTTTCTTTTTTACCTTTAAAGAAACAAATGCCCTGAGTGTTGCTGTGCACTTGGATGATGCAACCTCAAAGTTCATGATTCTCTTGGTGACCCTGATCTGTGCTTTTAGCAAACATCCTGCTTCCTGCAGAAGCAAGAGCAGCAGGTCTCCTGTGTCAACCAGACTACTGGTGGCTTCAGTCTTCATGCTCTTATTCAGTAATTGTTGTCTCTTATGTTTCCTGTTTACCCGACTGTATAAAAACCTTCTTTCACTATCCAAGGTTCCACTCTGAGCATTCATGCTGAGGGCTCTATTAAAGACCCAAAGACAACTCCGGTCTGAGAAACTCACTGTCACCTTAGAAAACAAATCAGTTAATCTAAGGTAATGTTTGTGCCAACTGTGAAAGGATTCCTTTACGGTGTTCCAGAGATATCACATTCACAAGGGAAAAAATGTGCTTTGTAAGAAAACATTCACCACAATCAGTTTATTCTTGAGGCCAAGTAAGTGATACATACTTTAAGAAATTCCCTAAATGTGTTTGTTTAGGTTTCAGTGGTCAAAGGTCACAGCGACCCTATATAAATCTGAAAAAATAAATTGAAAACTCACAATAAACCAAAAGATAATCATGTTGCACTTTTGTCATTATCGTATGTGGAAATTAAAGTCAGAATTCTAGATACTTGACAGCAAATTAATTTGATATTCATTCAAGGATGAACACAATTAAAAGCCATTAAAAGCCTGCAATTTCACAAAAATCTCACAATATCTGCATATCTCAATAAATGTCCATACATAACATACATTTGTCATAGAAAAAAACACGACAAAAACCAAACAGTACTGCTCATATTTTATTTAACATGAAGGGACCACTTTGATGTTTTTACAGTTATCTTTCTGGACAACAATATGGTTTAAAGTGTTTGACACTATACCCACCACCCAATCAGAACAAAATCTTTCAGATTCACAGAGCAATGGTAGATTGAATGCATGAGTCCATTAAGCGGAGTTCTGATAGTCACAACTCTGCCATACAGTCAATTCATTTGCTGTTTAACATTTTGTTAGTCAACAGCCATTCAGATTACAAAAGGCACAAATTCATAACATTACATCAGAGTTTTCACTGAAATCTAATATTCACTGAAGCAAATGACTGAACAAGTGAAGTGCAACAGCAAGATGATATGCTCAACACCCAGTTGTACTAGTATCGCAATCAAATTGCGCACAACCACCGTGAAGTAGTCATTCGTGGACAATCGGGTACCTTTGATAAGTCAAGTAATCATAATCCCCATTTAAATGCAGTTGTTAACTGGAATACACATATGATCTGGCTGCTGACACTTTGTCTATGGTAAAAAAAAAAAAAGCACACTTGTATGTAGCCTGACCATAACACTAAAATGTCAGTTTAATCACCATTCAGTGCAAATCAACCACCCTACACATTGGGAGGACTGTTTAACTGAAAGCAGTTCATTCTTGGTACAATAGGAAGCCAGAGAAAGTGCTATACTTCCAGGTGCTGCCATAGATGGCGCCACGATGCAACCGAAGCCAAACTTGGTCCCCTTGGAAGAGAGGCAGGATGGCATGGTTGCTGGCCGTCTCATGATCTGGGGCTCCGTCATTGGCATATGCCGAAACCATCACATCTTCGTTGCGCATGAGGTTGATATAGAGTGGCACGTTGATAGCGAGCTTCAGAATGTGGAAGATGAAGACATAGGTTCCATTGACAGGGCAGGTGAAACGGCCGATACGTGTGTCGTACATCTCCCCCAGATTGCTGTGTAGCTGGTCAAACACAATAGGCTGGTCCAGATTACCTGGGGCAAAGTTGGCAGTGCGAGAGGCAGTGAAAGCAACTTGCAGAGGCTGGGAGAGTGGGTAGAGTTGCATTGGTAACAGTGCAGGGTGGTGTTGGCTGTGGGGAGTAAGTGAGACCTCCACAGTGGAGACTGACGAGTCACCTAGCCCAGAGTCAACAATGGTGAAGGCTCCCTCCCGGTCTGGGCTACTCAACTGGGAACAATCACTCCATGCTGCTGTAAAGTAAAAAAAAAAAAAAAAGAAGCAGGGTGAAGTGTGCAATTATGACTACCATACACTACAAGTGGTTTAAAACCCTGATTTGGAAACCTTGACAAGTAACCAAGAGCAGTGTCTTCTTCGGGCAGAAAGGGAGGTTTCAGGATCATCTTTTGTGTTTAGTTTCTCACACCCAACCCAGACCCATCTAACTAATGACCAGAGTGAAAGAACCTGGTTATTAAGCAATGCATTTTGGGTTATCTTTTCCAGTGTGAAAACGAACTGAAGGAGATAATAAAAATTTGAAAAAAAATGTTTACCAACTCATCCATGGATTTGGAGCAGAGCTAATTAATTATAAGTTTAAAAATGCCCCTAGACACAAATTTGATCCCATCTACAATTAAGTAAAATTTCATGAATTTATCCAACAACAATCAGGCACACTTTATGATAAAAGTCAGTACAGCTGTTATGTAGAGACCTCTTTGACTTCACCGCTACAAACCTTTTCCTGGGGCCTTCATGACCATGAAAATGTTTCGAATGATTAATGCAGCTTTGTTCATCAGAAACACAAGATATTTTATTTCTGGAACACTTGGTAACCACCAGCCCACATCCATGAGCTTTTTCTACCAGATACCAGGGATGTGTATTGGAATTCAGACTGATGACACCAAGTGCTGAAAAATTAGCTAATTCGTAACACCCCTGTAAGAAAGCAAGCAGTTCTGATAACTTTGGCTCTTACCACTGGTGTTATGCCTCCCTCCTCCATTTTTGTGTTGGTATCCAGAGTCCTGAGGAAATACCGTAGAGGAATTGTTATACACATTATACACAGTCAAAGCAGCCAAAACAGTGACTTTACCTCAGGGCAGGGTCCAAGTATGTGCTTCTTTGCTGCATGACCACAAGCATGCGAGTTACATAATACACCATTATAATGATAATTTGATCATCATGGCTTCTCCTCGTCTGTAGTGTTTTTAGCTAAAGGAGGTTATGTTTTCAGCTGCATTTGTTTGTTTGTTGTCTATTAGTTAGCAAGATTATGCAAAAACTACTGGACAGTTTACCATAAAACTTAAATTTCTCAAAATTCACGATGAAAAGAAACCCCAGGCATATGGAGAGGACTGATATTTCTGAGCGTATGAAATTTGGTGCAGATCCAAATAATTATTGAGATCTAGTTAGTTTAAATGTGGTTTCATAAGGGGACTGTTGGGGATTGGCGAAGGTATGCATTTTACAGAGTACTCCTTCCAGTTTGCTTGTAAACTATCAGCCCAATTTATCTTTAAAGTCCACCAGAAGTGGCTAAAGGTCCCTGAATGCACCTCATTGGAAGATATCAAAGGACATTTAGGCTTAAAACATGATGTAAATGACCTTGTGTCGAATGAATGTCGGGGCTTGTGGAAACTTGGATGGCACCACACTAGCAGCATGGAGACATGCTATGTTTTTTCTGTACTATTACATCTGAAGCTTTGGTCACCAGTTAATTCAATTTTATTGGATTCAGCTTTAGTTACTCCTAAAGTGTTTTGTGGACTCAAACACTTCATCCACCCCTCCATCGGCATAGTGGTGAGTGAACTTTCTTTTCTGGGTGAACTATCCCTTTAACTTTTTTGGGATCCAAACAGGGAATAACTTGACCTTGTCCACTACTTTACTCAAATGACATGGGACTGACAGTTACAGTTCTGCCTGCTTTGTCTATCCAAACAGTTAAATTAAAGTTCATATAGTGGTTAAAATACTTTCTAAGTCCCAGAGCCAGTCCCTACATAGACAAATAAAGATTTACTTACCCTTACAGCATAGCGAAGAGGACCAGAATCCCTGAAATGAGCCTGGGGAATGTAGGATCCTCCTGCCAGGGAACAGAAATCAGTGTTAAACCTCAGGACTACCTCAGTAAGATTGATTTCTGCCAAAGGTGCTACTTTAGACATCAGCCAGGATGTGACACACAACAACAACAAACCCCGAACAGCTGTCTAGAAACAGAGGGAAAATGGTGAAAATCCAATAAGAAATAGGAAAGCTGAGAATAGATACCTCAACGCCAGCTAGAAGAACAAAGGTTTGTACCAGTCCCTTGCTGCCACGTGCCATACCTCTCACCGATCCTCTAGTGTAGTATTGACCAGGTCGACACATGCTTCCTTCTGACCGGCCAGGGGACAGGAAAATCTGCACACCATTTCCCACAATATAATCTGTCTGGTGCACTAGAGAGAAAAATGAACCACAAAATGTGTTTCAAACAAGTGACTGCTGACCATTCAACACAGACCATTTCAAGTAGATTGAAAGTTTAGAAACACATAATTGGTTTAACATACCAGGCTGTGGTTCATCTTCTGAGGGAGCAAACTCAGGTGGTGTTTGTGTACTGGCAGTACTGTACCTGCACTCAAATAAATCTACAGATTCTGGTTTGTAGTTCAGTTCCCCATTCTGGGGTGAGGATGTAGTCATGTTGAAGACCTACAGACAGAAGAACATGGATATCACATTAGTTAAGAAACTGCACAGTCCCATTCAGAACTAGATCTCAAGGTTCAGGTTGTGTTCAGAGTGCGTTACAAGTGTGTTCACTCAAGTGTCATTGGATTATTGTTCAGTGTTCTTTTGAGTTTAAAACTTTCAGTATTACCTCTCATTCTTTTGGGAAGACTATAATAATAATGGCTTGATTTTAAATAGCACCTTCAATGGGACCCAAGGACACTTCACATTTGTTTTTGAGGACAAGACAGAAGAAAAAAGGAATAATACAAAAAAGGAATTTAGCAGCAGGGTGGCGCATTACTATCGTGTTGAAACTGTAGTAAAAGCAACAATTGGATAACTGAGGCTATTCGCCTTTAAACTAATATGACAAACATCTTGGTAACGACAGACAAATGGGGTTCAAGCCCTATGTGTCCTGAATCAGATGGCTATTGTGTATCAAAAGTGAGTTTGTCACCTGGCCAACAGAGACTTGAATGTGGAGTATAAATCATTATGATTAAGTGTTTTAAATCACACCTGGATTAAATCCAGACAGACGACTTCTGAAACCTTACTAGTTAACTTAACTCTGCCAACCAGCAGATTCCACATAAATATTTCTCAATGTTTTTTGTGACCTTAGACAACTGAAATGCAATCCACCAACTTCTTCTCATCTATAAATTCCTCCATGTCCTGGCCCCACCAAATCTAACTGGCCTCCTCCACCCCTACACTCTGCTCAGAAAGACTGCAGTTCTCAAACACAGGTTAGCTCTCCATCCCCAACACCAAACTGCAAACTTTTGGAGACAGAGCTTTCTGTGTCACAGCCCCCTGGAGCTCTCTCCCTGACTAGATTCACCACACTGCATCTCTGGACAGCTTCAAAAACTGCTCAAACACCACATGCTCACAATGGCCTTTGGCCTCAGTTAATGCTCTACCTAGCCATTAGTGTGATTTATCTCTGTCCTGTGTAATGCAAATTACTTTCTTTCCTTTTTTGCCCCCATTGACACATGTAAAGCATCCTTGGGTCTCTTTAAAGCTGCTATATAAATCCAAGCTATTATTATAGGCCATTCTTGAGTCTAAGCAATTGTTTGTGCCATGTGTAATGAAATTCCCTTTGAATATTGCTGATCATTGTGTTCTAAACAATGAAAGATCAAATGACCTTCAACCACACAATGGCACAGGCTACACGCCCCCCAAAAAAGAAAAGAGAATCCATAAGCATAGTGTACAGCATATTGAATATATGTCATATCAAACTACTCCAAAAGCTTCCTTGGTGAGACAAAAAAAAAAAAAAAAATATTAGAACAGATTACAATATTACAAGTCAAAAAAATGTGCTTAGTTAACTGGCATATGTAGTTGCATCTCATTAAATTTGAATATCATGGAAAAGTGTATTTCAATAATTCAATTCAAAAAGTTCATATTCATATTTCAAGCATTTATTTCTTTTAATTTTGATGATTATGGCTTACAGTTAATGAAAACCCCAAATTCAGTTTCTCAGAAAATAAAATGAAAAAGTCCAATATTATAGACTAATGATGTTCCACTCTAATCAGCTAATTAATCCAAAACACCTGCAAAGGTTTCCTGAGCCTTGAAACGGTCTCTAAGGCTGGTTCAGTAGGCTACACAATCATGGGGAAGACTGCTGACCTGACCGTTCTCCAGAAGACAGTCATTGACACTTGGCATTTCATTTGGAAATCAAGATCCCAGAGTCTGGAGGAAGAGTGGTGAGGCACACAATCCAAGTTGCCATGTCATCTGCTGGTGTTGGTCCACGGTGTTTTATTAAGTCCACAGTCAATGCAGCTGTCTACCAGGACATTTTAGAGTACTTCATGCCACCTTCTGCTGACAAGCTTTATGGAGATGCCGATTTCATTTTCCAGCAGGACTTGTCACCTGCCCACACTGCCAAAAGTACCAATACCTGGTTTAATCACCATGGTATCACTGTGCTTGATTGGCCAGCAAACTTGCCTGACCTGAACCCCTATGGGGTATTGTCAAGAGGAAAATGAGAGACACCAGACCCAACAATGCAGACAAGCTGAAGGCTGCTATCAAAGCAACCTGGGCTTCCACAACACCTCAGCAGTGCCACAGGCTGATCGCCTCAATGCCACACCGCATTGATGCAGTTATTCATGCAAAAGGAGCCCCGTATTGAGTGCATATATATATAAATACAACTTTTCAGTAGGCTGACATTTCTGTATTAAAAATCCTTTGTTTTATTGGTTTCATGTATGTTCTAATTTTCTGAGATACTGAATTTGGGGTTTTCATTAGCTGTAAGCCATAATCATCAAAATTAAATGAATTAAACCTGTAGGCCCCCCTGCCCCCCTTGGGTTGGCTAACCTCAGTTTATATATGTACACTGAAATGCCAAGTCATTGTTTTAATATTTACAGACTGTGAGCTACTTCAAAAAGTTTTAGTCTGGATGGATTGATAAAACAAATGTGGGGTAGCCAAGCCAGCATAAGTGTTAGCAAGCACTGTATAAGTAAATTGTCTAAGATGGAAAGCCAAAGCTCATGATTCATGTGCTCAGGTTGTATGGTGCGGTTGTCTGACACGACCCGACTGCTCACACCGTACATTGCATTGGCTCTTCTGGGCCTGCTCTGGACTGGTGTTTTTGGTAAAGAAGTGTCTGAGTGTGTTTGCTAACAAAGCTAAAACGGGGGAAACAACACTGCCATGATCCCTTGCAAAGCACCCCCCCACCCCAAAAAAAGACTGCATATGGGCTGTACGACAAACAATGCAACAGATGAAAATCGTCAAGACTCTAAAATGAGTCCCACAACTCAATTTGCATCAAAATCAGGCTCCAATCGCACAATGTAAGCTCAGTCATTCCTTTGGTGGTTACAATCAGTCCATGGACCCTTGCTTTACACATGCCAATACCAAGAGTATCCCATCATTCCTTGAGCTGAGATACACCAGTCTCCCAAGTCTGTCTGCCCCACCTACTTGTTAATATTAAGATTCATAAATTAGATTTCATAACATTTTTAAAAAGGTGCACATCTGTCAATATGCAACTAGACAGTGACAGAATGCTATGGTAGGAGTCAAACCTGTGGCCTTTTTGTCTAAATGGCAAAAAAACTCAATCAATACAGACAAACATAATACATTTTTGGTAAGACTTACTGAATGGATGTCCTGAAATTGTGCAGGGGTGAGGGTTCTCCTGGTGGGGGGTGTGGAGAAAGTCTGGCCCTGAGGGGTGGCAGGGGTGCGAGATCCCACCCCACTGCATGGACAATGCTTATGTAATGGGGTAAGCTCAGCAACAGGTTTCTGTGGCAAACAGAGAAAGTTTAAAGCCATTGTTAAAAACTACATCATTTACAGAAGCATGTTAATTGACGTGGTCAAGAATGGCCATTTACATGAGGATGGCTCATCTCATCCAGGCAGACAGAAATTATGGACTCCCTGTGGTACAGTGGCGGTGAGGGAAATGCCTTCTTATCAGACAACTGAAGTGGCTCCTGCATAGAAGATACACATTTAACAGCCACATGGAGCTGTGAGATTTTAAACACATGTTGCATCGCTTACCAATGTGTTGCTTCTTACATGAGGTGTGTCCTTTGAGGAAAGTTCCAGGTTACTAGACTCCATGCACCGAACTCCACTGGTGAGACTGGCTTTGTGCTCCATAAGCCTAGTAGGCAGCGGGGTGGACTGAGTGGGGGATGAGAATGAAGTCAAGTGAAGTCCAAATCATTGACACTTGAGTCACAACTGATACATCAAATATGGAAAAAATGCTTACATTAATTGCTTTGAGCAGGACATCAGCTGGGCTTCTCAAGTCTGTCTGAACTACTTAGTATGGAGGAGAGAGATCATACATCAGGAAATCACATCACAAAATCTGAGGCTGTAGCTTTCAAAACTAAATTCCACAACTCCAAACAAACACTAAAAAAATAACACTGGGAAATAGCCCAAATTGTACAATAGTATTTGATTTCCAGACCAAAGGGAGCTTTGTGAAAATGTTAAATTTAGAACAATGGCTTTGAAAGTAACTAAATCTTCATAAGGAGGTAGCTAGTGTAATTCAGACAGAGGATAATAGAGAGATAATGTTTCAGTTTCCATGGTTTGGAGCAACACAGCTAATGACAAAACAGAAATCAAGGCAAGGGAGGATGAAGGCACAGACAACAGTCTCCAACAGCAGTGCTAATGAGAGAAGGGGAGGCAAAGTTTTCCAAAAATGTAGCTGCAGCTGCTGATTGTAACAAGGACGCAAAAGGTTAACTGGCTATAGTGACGCACAGGTCAGGGTGTTTTAATACCCAAACCCACTACATCTAGTGGTGTAGTTGCATGTTGCAGCTGAATACCCATCACCTTACCGTTCCCTTCCAAACATTGTCCAGTCAGTACTATCGTAAAAAACATGGCGGCCTTCCTAAAGTATTTAAATATAAAACAACAGTTGCTACAAAACGATCACACACTAGTGAAAACATCATTACACACTGGACCTTAAAAGCTACAGAAAAAAAACTGTTGGAATTGTTTTGTCAAATTACAGAGGTGACTTCTAAGTTACCCAGAGGAGACGGCAATCCAGATTGCTGTCTCTTCAGTCCAGGGTGGCCATTAGTAGGGGGGCTCTCACCATCAAGGACAGAGTCCTAAAGAGGACGAGATTATTTTTAAATATATTGCTGTAGTTACTGGCAGAGCAGCTGTGACACTTAAGTAAACCATGATTTCATCTTGTGCTGGGTGGTGAAGGAGAAAAGTTTGTTATTGAATCAAATGTTCTTTGCTTGCAAACAGCCAAATTCCACCTGCATGAAAGTGAAGGAGCCATGGATCTTTGTCATGAAGTCTTCCAGGTGCTGCTTCCTCAGGATGGGGTCTTTGGGTAAGGTAGACGGAGAGTTAAAAACTACCACGGGCGTGTCCACATGTACTGCCTGTTGAGAGTCACAAGTATAAATTTACAAATTGTGTGATGTAGATTTCTGTACATCTGTAAACCAGTAGTTTTGTACTCACCAACTTGGCATTTTGCTCTCCTTTGACTTTCCTCTCTTTTTTCTGTGGATAATGTGTATTAATTGTTGTATGGTCACCATTGCTGAACAATAACATTCTGTGAAATGGTCATACCATTGATTTGCCGATTTACACAGCTATTAATATATATAAAGCTTACAAATTTAATTTATAATCTAGGTCAGCAGGGCTCCATCTGATTGGCCGAATATATTGAAATGCAGAGCCTGAATGCATGGCACATGGAACACCATTTATAGGAGTTCAAGCTGTCTTATGCAATACTTATATCGTGCTTGTTGATATCACAATGATAAATTCTCGATATTTCATGCAGCCCTAGTGCCTAGAAGGCTTAAGGATATCTCACCTGTTTGCAGTCAGAGCGTTTCTTCGTGGGGACTTTGTAGATATAAGTAGCAGCTCCTCTCCATGGTTTGTGGACTGTGCGCTCCATATCCCAGTTGTCAAGAGGCTCCCTTTCTTTTATGGCCTCCAAGTCCTCCCTCCAGTTCTGAGTGGAAAGAGACACCATGTCAGTCAGGTAAAGTCTGGATTTTGAGCTATGCTTTGCAGTCAAACAAACAGAAATCTGAAAAATAAAACTGGCAAACTTAACAGATCATTGGCCTTACCTCCTTAGAAACTTCTGTTTCATTTCGTTTTGACTTCGATATGGCTGACAGCAGAAAGAAATATGAATCTTGAGACCTGCAATTCACCATTTTCAGTCTAGACAAATATATCAAGTCATTTTCAGGGTAAAACTTAAAATTTCAAAGTTTTTAATGCCTAACCCCAATTTCTGGCACCATTATCACCCACTGGCCAATAGTGTAAGCATGGTCTTACTGCTGTGGCTGATTTTGCTCGGTAACACCTCGGGAGTCTTGTTGGGTAGAAGACAACTGAAGTATTTGCAGTTTAACAGCCTGGTGAGCTCCTCTTTCAACAGCTTAACTGGAAGGACAAAATTCAGTTTCATTTCAGTTTTTAAAACATGTCCCTTTATTCTCCTTCTAGACTATATACGACCTGTAAACACCTTTAAGTTGTTACATTTTATACCATGGTCAATTTAAATTCTGATTGTTAGCTGTTCTAATATCTACATTTGTGCAAGGACCATAACCAATGGAATTTTTCCCCCCCATGTTTTCACAAATGAAGTCTATTTTATTGTATAAAGCAGGTATTAGTACCTACATATCTTGTTTATTTAATCCATGCAGACATAATACATGCATGGGACAGCCATAAAGCTATTTAATTACAACATTAAATGGAGATCACTTAGGCCTCTGGATAACAGTGAATTCATACAATTCAAATGTTTGAAACAATTTAAAGTCTTTAATCATTTCATATTATTTGGTATAGATAACATTTTTCTGACCCTTTAGTTGACTGCTCAGATGCAGAAAAGTGTACGTCTCTGTAGGCAATTATGCCACAGCAGCATTAACCAATGCTGTCAAACTAAAAGAAGTAGGAATCTCTCCATCACAGACTTCTAATGTGCACAGAGAGAAGGGCACAAGCAGTTACCTATTTCCAGGCAGATTATGATTAACAACATCACATGAACTGCTTTAATGAATTTTAATTGAAGGGGAACCATTGAGCTCTGTTAGGTTCATACAGCATACTCACATGTGGATCCAGCAACTGGCTTGTCTCTCCCCTCCAGCAAGTCCAAGTACACCACAGCCGCTTTTTCCATCTGCTCCCCTAAACTACAACATAGTAAAAAGAAGACAGAGGTCACAAGGGGCCAAGAGACAACAGCGGTAAGAAGGCTGACTGTAACTCAGCTGTGGAGGCTTAAAACCAGTTAACTATAAACTACTGTGTAACATTTGCATACACTTTTTATATAACGCGTCTACACGGATTTCCCGAACTCCAGTGAATGTGAATTGGGCTGTAAAGGCTTCCACAACACAGGTGACCTAGAACTCTTTCATTATACATACTACATAAGACTATTTTCGTTTGTCATTGAGTTCAGTGGTGTACCCCAAGACGCATATAATTCAATTTATTCATACTGGAAAGTTTCCACAACACAATGTCAAATACTGTAAATCTCAGTTATTTGATGTCACAAAATGCAAGTACTTGTATTTTTATTGTATCCAAAGCATACTTCCACACAATTCAGAGGGAATTATTGCATTTTGTACTTTTACACATTAGAACAAGCTTTTAAATTTACAACACTGAAAGCGAGCAAAAAAGCAAGTTAGTCATTTCAGATGATAAAAGCTTTTGTCTCTGAAGTTCTAACATACTTTAATTTCAGTGGATGTTCAAAAGATCAAGCTCTCAGAATATATCCAGTGACCCTGTTTATAAGGTTTGAGGAGATCAAAAGGTCGTCATCACCCCACGCATTAGCGATTAGAAAAAGCCGTCATAACGTTTGCTTACCTAGTGCAACATTTTAACATGTCAGTGCATTCATGCACATTAACAATTGTTTGCTTTAATCCCAAACACTATTAAATTAGATCATGTTTACCTTGTTGATTTGTTAACTGAACCAAAAATGACTTTATCATGATAAAAATGATGAAAAAAAAAAACCACCAGCCACCTAGACTATTACTATATACAACTATTTATAATACAAATTATATAGCCAGCTGGCTGGGAATCATGTGGAAGAGCCAGTAATATAAAAGCGCTGTAGAAGTCTCATTTTCATCCGGCTCTGTTAGTCCCTCACACTGTATGATAAAGTTAATAAGGCTTATTATTTTCTGTTCTTAGTTCTTAGTTAGTTTGTTTTGCTTACTCTGTAAAGCTGCCTTGGGTAACTTGAAGGGAATCAATTATTATCTCATCATCATTAATCATAATAATAAGACAATAGAGTGGAAGCACAGACTTGTTGAAACGCAAAAAGGAAATAATGGAACTATAATGCCAAGGACTCAACATGACAAGGACCCTAAACAGGATGAATCATTGATATTTTAAATTGATTAGACTGTTTAAATCATGCTTAATTACAAATTATCCTAATAACCATTACAGATGCATTTAGTTATTCATTCAGAATTTTGTGATACACCACTGACACAAACTTACTTCAGTTTGTTATCCCTCTTGACTCCCAGCAGGGTGGCAAGCTGACCTAGGCTGCACAGCTGCTGGGCTGAGATGTGGGGTGCCTGATTGTGTCCGGCCAGCAAGTCTCTCCTGATATGCTCAAGCTGCAGGCTGTGGAGAAGATTCTGTATCTGGAGCACTGTGCCCAGACGCCTCCTCTCCACCTCCACCTTTGCCACCTGCTCCTTTTTCACTGCCTTCTTCTGGGCTCTCAGCAACTGCAGGAGTAGGATGATTCAGGGGCATTTTGGAAACAGAACATTGAGCTATCGTGGTAGAGGCCTATGAGTTTCAGGCTCATTTGTCATTGCAAAGTTTTGAAAGCTCCATATGAACAGTTGCATGTTACTGCCCTGATATTAAGTATAACCAGTGGATGAAGTGTATAAACTCTAGGGCTGTATGATAAACAGTAGTATAGAATGCATTTTTAGCCTGAAGTCAGAGCAATAAGTGGGCTCATGTTAATCAAGTCTTGCATGACATTAAGGCCCCCCTCTCATTTTGATACATTTTCATCCGTCTTAAGAAATGTTTGACCAATGATGATCATTTTTCTAAAGTGGGGGTGGTATATATGATGATTTATGGAGTGCTGCTGAAGCATTTTTAGCAACAAAAGATTGCTTTTGCTGATGTAGGTCTGTTGAATTTGATATTTCAGCAAAAAAAAAAAAAAAAACACTGGATGGATATTTTCTCCAAAAGAACACACAATACCAGAGGTGTTAGATATGCTACGTCATGTGTAATCGGTCTTGTTGATTTCAAGTCCATACAAATCCATCCAGAAGCATTTTGGTCTGTTACTGTTGAAAAAACACCCCTTGGTGCACAAAAATGAAATAAGTGAATGCAGACCCATTCTCACATGCAAATTGCTCTGGTGATACCAAGGCTGATAGCTAGCTAATTAAATTTAAAAGAGAACATTTTAAACATGGAGTAAATGACCGTTTCAAGTGGAATATAAATGTAGGGGCTTGCGGATACAACACTAGCATTATGGAGGCATGTTTTATATATATCTATATATATATTATATACACCCCTTCATCAGCATAGAGGTGAGTGGATAATGAGTGAATTTTCAGTGAACTATCCCTTCATGCTACTTTAGAGGGAACCATCACACAATCCATGGCAACAAGTGCCACCCAACAAAACTAGTTTTTGATATTCATTGATTATTCTCATAAATGATATGTTGTGTTCATATGGAAAACCATGGGGAGACAATGAGCTCCACAGAGTTCCATGTGCTGGTGTTCAAATGGGATATGAGAACAAAGCTGCTTGATGACAGCAACATGGATCCTGCAGAGGAAAACAATCTAGCAAGGCAGCAGGTGCAGTAATGGAAGCATAGTGACAGGGGAAAGGATGAGGGAACATGAAGAGCTTCCTCAGACGTACTCAAAATGACAAAAAATGCATTAGAAAAGTTTCTATTTGATTAAATATGATCATACGGTTTGTTTTTCGATCAATACCTTTCGCTTTGAATACGAGCAGAGGCTTAACACAGCAGAAGAATCCATTCTTGACATGCCACACCAGCAAAAATATTCTTATTCTAGCAAATGATACAGAACCAGGAACTATCTGATCAACAAAGAACCTTACAGTCTGAGTCAAGTCATCCAGGGTTTTGTGTAGCTCCTGAGCAAATTCCAGGTTATGCAACACCTCCTCATACTTTTCCACAGCCGCCTGGAAAACAGCAAAATATGGGGGGGGTGGGGGGGAAAAACCCTAAGCACACAGAACAAGTATCTACATTATCATATCATTGTTGCCTTCACAGGACGACTTACCATTTGATCTTTGTTAAGTGCCTCACTCCTGGCCAGCCTTTTCTTGTAGTCTTCCAGTTTCAGCTGTTAACACACAAGATGGATCATAAAATCCAGGCACCTGCCTCCACCTCTCCAGCTTCCAAACCTGTTTTTCCAATCTAGGCCATCACCATCTTACCTTTTTTTTCTCCAAGTTGCGGACTTTGTTTTTAAGGCAGATAAGGCCATCTTCTATGTAGGCTTCATAACCATAGTAGATAGTGGAGGCCTCCAGGTTGAGCTGCAAGGTGGTCAGCTCCACTTTTGGGTCACCAGCCATCATGCAGTCTTCCTGCCTTTCACTGCCCTCCCCTGAGTGCTCAGGTGGGGTGGGGACATCTTCAGTAGGGGACAGACACAGCTGCACCATGCTGGGCTAGGAGAGGCACACATTTCAGTTGCAAATAATGCAAGCAGTTTGCCATGCAGTTTCTGAGCCATGCAGCTGCAGAGAAAAGATGCTGCTTAGCAAATGCTCATCATTTAAATAGAGATGGAAGGGGAGTTGGCACTGTTTGGGCAACAGCCAACCCCGTGACATTGCATGTATGGTGGGCATCAGGGTTATTATAGTTAACGAAAACTAAGACTAAAACTAGCAATGAAAAAATAATTTAGTTAACTGAAATAAAAACGACAATTACAAAAAAAACGAAAACTAAATAAAACTACAATGAACAATGCGAAACGAACTAAAACTAAACTGCAGATAAATTCCGCTTCGTTTTCTCCCTGGATTACTGCCTGTCCTGCAGGTGATGGTTAAAGAATGAAATTAAAGGACTTGATAAACCATATTTGGTGTCACACATTGTTTCATCCTTTTTCAGCTTCTACAAGTCAAGGCTTTCTCTTAATACCTGGAAAAACTAAAACTAAAACTAAACTAAAACTACAAAATCATTTGTTGAACTAACTAAAACTAAACTGAAATAAAAAAGCAAACTGAAAAACTAAATCAAAATTAAAACTAATGAAAATTTCAAAACTATAATAACCTTGGTGGGCATTGAACGGCCTGCTCTCTGGATACAGAATCAAGTCAACTTTATTATCGATAATGCCATATGTGCAGGACAGAACTGAAATAGCGTTTCCCTCTAATCCCCGGTGCAAACAGCATTAAACATGAAATATAAAATATAACAAATATAAGTAATTCAAAGATATAAACAGGCAGTGGCAAATCTAGACGATATCCTTTTCTTGAATGAGTTGCTTCCTTAAGGTTGGGTGGAACTAAGCAGAATCGGAAGTGTCTCTCAAACTCTGCTTCGAGTTTATTGTAACAATCTCGACAACGGTGTGTGACTGCAGGATCCGACCTTTTCCTTCAGAATTTAGTGATTGAGGTTCACTCGCCAGATACGAGAGCATTTGGTTAATCACCACGCGACGACCGAAGCAGCTGACCCACCTCGTGTCTGTGGCTCGTGCGTGTCGAGTCCTCACTAGACGGCCGCTGGACGTCCGAGTAACGCGAGACCAAGCGTCCCCCTGTGACCGCGATGTTCAGCTCGCAGAGGCCACGCTGGTGTCAGCTCGTACCTTTAAATACCCGGCGACGCAAGCGCCACATCCGGTTGCGGTTGCAGTCACGCACGCACGCACGCACACAGTGATTGAAAAGTATTATTATGAATGGAGGATTTTGTGAAGTACATTCTTTCTTTCTGTTATTTTGATCCATATTAAGTTGGTTTTTTTATTTGGGGCATCAAAGTAAAGTGCTATATTTGAACTGTGTATATTTGGTGTTTTCCCAGTAAACCACAAATCCTTTGCATGCTACAAGCCAAATATACCATAGCCAAAGCTTGGAAATCCACTATCAAACCTAGTATCAGTGTTTGGCTTGCAGGACTGTCAGACTCTCTTGCACTGGAAAAACTCACTTTCATGTTAAAGGGTAAATAATACCTCATCTTTGATAATATGTGGAGATCTTTTATGGTGTTCTTAGAAGGGAGGAAAGCATTGGAGGCATGTTCCCCCTGTATTTAAACCACCAACAAATGAAATTGCCAGGTATTTAATATCTGTCTGTTTGTTATTTTACTCTAAGGGATAACCACCAGTGACTCTGAAGGATGATTTATGATTTGGGCTGTGCAAAATAACGCATGCTACTGCTCTGTCATGTGTGCCTTACTGAAGATAAACCTTGCCGTGACAGTTCTGTTTTGCACCTGTATTATTTGTTGTAGTGTTACTGTTTATTTTGAAATTAATAAACACACTTGGTGAAAAAAGTGTTATATTTGTATTGAGATATTGTGATGAACGTGTCTGTAAACTGTTACCAATTTAAATACATTTGTTTGTACTCTGCCAACAAATAAAACTCAATCTATTTAACGTAAAAAGGCTTTAATAGAAAACAATAATCTAATTTACTAATGCATTTTTTAAATTGACGCCCTTTCATCCTAGTTATTTATTGTCATAATTACAATGTTCAACTATACCAGTTGAGATGGTTTAGTTTAGAATAGAGTATATGAGAATGTTCATTGAAATGTACCAGTTTTATCTTTTGTTAAATTGTTTATTGGTCTATAATTGACCTGTCACTTTCAACAATTTCTATAGTGCCATGAAATTGTGCATCTGTAGGGGGGGGGGTTACAAGTATTTGCTCGTCACTCCCATCATATCTGTGTAATCATATCGGGAGAGTGATTGAGTCGGAGCCTAGACACTCAACACAAATTATGTTCTACTACCGCAATAAAGAGTTAAACGTGAGTGGTCTGACTGAAATTTATTTAGCTCAAAACATAATTTTTTACCACTAATGATTTATGTTTTACTTAAATGTATTATAATCTCCCAACACCAGGAAACACAGGAATGTGGAATATTGGTGTTCCGATTAAAATATATAAGTTCTGATATTTTCTCAAAATGATAACTGGACATTAAAAAAAATAGATGGCACATATTAAAGCAGTCAGTACGTAGTATTATAAACGCTCACTGTTAAAAGATTGTTCTACTCATTGTTCTCCTCATTTAATATTTCCCATTAAAAAAACAAGGTACATACATACTGTAGTTTATAGACACACACACGGCAACATAAACACACCATGCTTTTATTTAAACTGGCAAAATAAATGCCACAACAGTAGTCAAAAGCAGACATGGAACTCTTGTCTGGTGATGTTTTTGCTATCAGGAGGTTACACAACCACCACCGTCACAGCAGTCAGTAGCATTTCCATACAGCCTATTCACTCAGGGTTAATCATGATACTCATGACAATACATCTTGATGTCACAAATACACCCAATAAGCACATTCCGTGGTAGTCTGGGGAATATCTCAATAGTCCAAAGTGCATGTCCTCAGAAAAAACTATTTGGATACTAACAAATCCAGTATGAGATTGAGGAATCTATTATAGTGCTTTGGAGCTATGAATCCTGCAGCTGAGCCATCAAGAGCACAGTAGCCGGAGCACCAAGGGTTGGGGGAAGATACTGAACCCTGAATTGTCCTCCATAGAAAAAGTCCTGCCGTGCATGAATGTGTGTATGAATGGGTGAATGGCAATAACATGTCCTGTAGTAAATCTCTTTGAGTGGTCATGAAGAGTAGAAAAGTGCATATATAAAAATACATACCATTTACAGACCATTACTGCTTGATAGAAATGAATGTTTCTCTCTTTAAAAGCTTTATCAAACATGAAACGATCACCATGGATTCATATTCAAAATAATAAATACATGAAATAAAGACACAATGCAAACCATGACACACCATGTCGTTCAGTCTCAATACTAGAATAGGCAACAATACTAGGGTTGTAGAAATCACCGGATTATGTCCTCTTAAAACTCATCTTCAATCTAGAAGTCAGAGTCACAATAAATACACCTCCATCAAAATATGAACATGTAATAATGACAATATTAACACCTTCATTTATACAATTCTGTGGCAAAGTCCCTTGTCCAAAAATGTGTTTAAAGAAACCAAACGTATTTCAGTCCATATGCAGTTTGTGTGGTGGAAGAGGGGCGGGTTCAATTGTTTAATATAAGGAATAAAAAGAACGATTTTGATCGTTCCTTTTACATGTGGCAGAATCAATTAACATTTTGAATGGGTTACTTATATAACGGCAATACCATATCACAGCGAAAATTAACAATGAACTCCTGAAAATAACCCCCTGCAAATTCTTTATTTCCTCCTGTTAAAGGGAAGTGTCCTGCAGTTTTAGGAACCCCTTAACCCTTAAAATCTCCCTTAAAACAGAACAGCTATAATTTCTTTTCAAAAACTCCTGACCAATGTAAGTCTGAAATTCCCAAGTGGGGAAGACACTGACACCAGCTGTTAGCTGATGCACCTTTAATGGGATGACAAGACCAAAATAAGTCTTGGGAACTCTACTAAACATCTACAGAGGAAGCTGGTGGTTTTCTTATCTTTCACTCTCTTTAGCTTCACATCAGTATGCAATTTTACATTGACTCCCTTGCTGCCTGGCAGCAACACAAACTGTATTTTATTTTGACTCAGCCCGAAACAAAAAGCTACCTGGAAGGTAGAAAGTCAATTTGAAAACTAATGGCATGTTTAAAAAACACTGTAATGTGCAGTATTTGAAATGTTGAGCTAATGAAGAGTCTTTGGGGGCCATGGTTGGATCAGTCACCACATCCAGGTTTATAGTTAATCCAAAGATCTGAATTCTCACATGAAATATCGAAACATTTTGCTTTGGTAATTAAACCAAATCTTAAAGTTCCCTGTTCGTCATTTCCTCCTTCCCTGCTAATCTGTCTAATTGCAGAGCCAGTTGGCTACATTAGAGCAGTGCAGTTGTAATTGGTGGTGGTAGTGAGGAGGTATTGGAGAAAAATATGTGGCTACCCAATGGCCCCCCTCTGGGGTTAAAGGTCAATGGCTTTGATCAGTGAGGATTCCAGTTTGATAGGGAAGTTGTGAAGAGTCTCCAGGATTGCGATGAGGGCACTGACAGTAGTGTGGTCTCTAAGGAGGGCTGTGTCCTCATACATCTGCAGGATCACTGGACAATCCACCAGCAGGGGGAGCCACTGGGGCAGCAGACGGTCTCTGTGGAATAAACAATGCAGATAAACTATGGCCGCACAATATAATTCCTTTCAGCCAATAACTATGCAAAGTATGCAAGATTTGTCTTTCTGGACATCCATCTAAACATGAAGGTTAATTTATGCTCAAAGGTGTCATGATTTGGCCAAAACCTTTCCTGTAATATTATCAGCAAAGAAAGACACATTATTTAAAACACAAAAAAATACAGCTTAGCTCAACTAATGTCATAGCTGACCCTTAGTGCTGTTTATATTAGTTTCAAGTTCCTTATACAATGTTGCTGTTGTTGTCAAACTGTATGCACCCAACTGGGATGATCCATTTATGTTAAAGGTACAGTGTGTAGAATTTAGTAATATCTAGCGTTGAGGTTGCATGTTGCAGCTGAAAACCTCTCAGCTCATCCTCTCCTTCCAAACATGAAAAAGAAGCTTTGGTAGACTTTGATTGTTATAAAAACTCAAAAGGTGTTTAGTTTGTTCAGTCTGGACTAATGTGAAAAAACATAGCGGCCTCCGTAGAGAGGGTCCCCTCGATATAAAGTATTTAAATATAAAGGGCCTTTTTCCGGGGTAAAGAAAATGACTAGTGAAAACATCATGAGGATTATTCTACATAAAATTTCTGCCAATAGATCCCTTTCACCTAAATCTTACACACTGGACCTTTAAATGGACAGCATTTATAAATAGCTTTCTCATCTGAACTACCACTCAACTACCAAACTACAAATTACAATCACCAATTCAAACAATGTCCTGACACTCACCTGACTCCGAGGCACACCAGCAGCTGGAACTTGCCATCCTTCCCAATGTTCCTGGGAGTAGAGTTGATCGCATTGATGTAGTGACAGAGTGACTGACAGGACAACCCCAGGGGTGCTGTGGCATCCTGAACGTCAGCTGACTGCAGGAAGGTAACAGCCTTTTCTGCATAAGGAGTACATGACATGACAGAGTCAAAGATGTGTTAGAGTAGACTATATGACAGATTAACGCCCCGTGTTGGCTTCAATGTCCCGAACAGAAAGCAATAGAGAGTGGTTCACCAGCCAAACGGACTGTTACACACTATAATGGACCACGTTAAATAGTTTATTTTTACGGCCGCAGATGGTGCTGCAGCTCGATGCTCACCAACAAAGTCCCACACGAACACAGTCCTCTGGAAGAGCCGGGCAGACTTGAAGCCGTGATGAAAGAACTGTTCCAGAGTAGCCACCAAGCTGTTCTCCCCACATAGCAGCACTGTCAGGCTGCCCCTCTGCGAGAAAACAGGCAGGAGATACAAGGTCAACACACAAAGCACACAGCTGAGCTGAGTGGCAGATATCGCAAATGACTAAAAAATACAGCAATGTCCAAAATACAGACATAAATAAATAGTATACATTATCAAAAAAAAGAATGCATAAAAAGGTAGCAGCAAAAGCTGAGATATCCTTTCATCCAGAGTATGGGTCAAAATGCTTCAATCAAATAGTATCTTTTCTGAAACCAGAAAACATGTTATTTTCTTAAGTGTTAATAGGCAGCACTAGCAGGTAAATGAGCAAACATTAGAAACATAAAGGCTGATTCATGCTTCTACATCGAATCTATGTCTAGGTAAGCAGGAGGCATGGAGCCGAGCAGATACTATCTGTGTCCTCTGCCGTGCCATTGGAAGAGCCATAAAACAGTAGGGCTGGACGATTATGGAAAAAATAATAATCACGTGAGAAGCCAAAATCAAAATTGTGATCAAATTCTGATTAATCGTCCAGCCCTATAAAACAGCCCTGTTAATAAGTTCAGAGACAGTTCATTAACATCCCAGTGTATCAATTATTCACTAAGGGGTTAAGTCACTAACCTCTTTCTCTGGCTTTTGGAAGTGTTTGACAATGTTGTTCACTGCCTCTCCAATGCCCTCCTGGATTTGGGCAGAAGTTGGTTCTGGAATCAGGAAAACAGCTGCATCAATGTAGAAGTTCTGAGAACATCTGAAATTTCAGTTACCAAAAAGCTGCTGCTCTGATATTAGGCTAGAGGCGGGGTACACCCTAAACAGGTCATCAGTCCACCACTGGATGGACGGACAGATAAGCAGACAGACAGACAGAGGGAGACATTTACACCTGGGGGTAATTTACTGTTAGACAGACAAAATAAATTAATAGGTAAAATATTTTATGATGAATTATTATTCAATGTACTTTAATTCCTAAATATAAAAGAGTTACATTTTAAGTAAAATTTATAATATAGTTGTGTAATTGTAAATGTAATTACTAGTAAGATTTTAATTAGAGTTTATATAATGCACAATTGAGTGCTTATTTCATTAATTAACAACAAAGGTGGCTCATTAAGGAGTGTATGTATGCTGTGATAGTATCGGTTATGTCAGAGGTGGAGAGTATTTCTTCACTGAAAGAATTACAAAGAACGACAGCGAAGGCTTTTATCCACAGATGTGTTTTACTTTTCTCCCGACTGGCCTTTTCCTTCTCTTTTCCAAGCGGCTCTCAATGAAGCCTTACCTATGTAACACACCATCTAGTGCATCAGGTTACAATTCAAATGTTAAAACAAGCCCTTACATCTTTTTTGTGTGTCGATCAAAATTTATTTGTAAAGCCCATATTCACAAATTACAATTTGTCTCATAGGTCTTAACATTGTGCAACGTCCTCTGTCCAAACCCTCAACAAGAGTAAGGAAAACTACCAACCCCCCCCCCTTAACTGACCAGTTCCAAGCCGACAGATACTTACTGTACTCTCGTCCAGACAGTGATGTCATGCCGGTGGTCTGGGATGGACAATGCTGCAGTGGGGGCGTACGGCAGCCTCTCCCAGCATCCTCGTCTCTACTGGGCACCACCAGCTCACCAATCAGAACCCTCTCCAGGCTGCCATCATCCACACCCTTACCAAGCCATCGACCACATGGGAACCTGGAGGGGATACCGAATATTCCATGTTTTTATTCTTGTCAGCAAGTGTCATGGCAAAACCAAATCAACAGTGAATGTCTCCATCAAACAAAATTGCTTCTTTCTAAAGCCTTATAAATGAAATCTATCTGCAGCACAGAGCTCCATTGTTTCCAAAACTATTAAAACTATTAAAAAATCAGTGAACCAGACTGTTCCACTGGATGTTCATCACACACTTGCATGCACATACACACACCCACATGAAATCTACACACAATAGACGATGGGAACACAATTATTATTATTTAATCTGTACTTTTCACAGAGAAAGACTAAATAATTAGTATTTTTACAGGTAAGAGAGATGAGAGCTACATTAAATTAAAATGAAAGCTATAAAAGAGCAGCCCACACTTACCTGTATGTGTGTCCGGTGATCTCATTGCGCACCATGACACAGTCCACCAGCCACTTAGCTAGGAGTCCAGCGTTATCATGACCCAACTGTGCTGTCGTCAGCTTGCCCAGGTTCTGACACTAAACACACACATATGAGCACGGGCACACACAGAGAGAGAGACAGAGAGAGAGGTTAAAGGTTATGCTACGTTTTTTGAATGAAATATGTACTTGTGTCCTGATAATGTCCGGCTGACACTCTGAGGTGGTGAGCTGTCATCGTGAAGTGAAATAAGTCTGTGGAAACAAGCAGTTTCTCAATGACATCTCGCAAAGTTATTTAGTACTAATGTATTTCTGGTTCAGTTCGGCTCATAGAGCTCTGGGCAGCTTCACAGGTACAGGGGGATGTACACTAAATGCAGAGAACATGGACTGCGCGTGAGAAAAAAGGATGTGCGTTTGTTGTGAAGGAGCTGGATCTGTGAGGAGCATATTTAAGTCAAGCGGGACATCTGAGATAAAGGAGTTACTTCTCAAAAGCACTGAACTTCATCTGGCACCTTAATGAGACTGACTTAATGACACTGTCCATGCAGTCCATGCTCCCTGGATTTTGCACATACCCACCTATACCCTTGAAGCTGCGTGTAATGCAGTAAGTAGTGTACTGGGCTCACTCTGACAATATCAGGGCATTTTGATGTAGAATTTCAAAGTTACAGCCCTACGAAATATCATATTTTCACTGTTTTACATATAAATTCAGATTGATTAAAAAAAATAAACGACCTATTTCCACAGACTAATTTCACTTCTCAATGATAGCTCACTACCTCACAGTGTCACCCAGACAATATCAGGACATTTGGATATATATGGGGCAGACACCATCTCTATATTTAAGGTTGGACTTAAAACATTCCTTTTTGATAAAGCGTATAGTGAATATATGTTTCTCTGCCCCCCCTGTGTGTGTGGTGGGTTAGGGATTTAGAGCCAGTACAACACTTTTATTGAAGACTATAAATATCCACTGGCTCTGTAGTGTATTGTTAATGGAAGTTTAGGATGATACTTGACCCATTTGGCCCATATTTGGGATCTGAATGCGAAGGACCTATTTTTATGACTGCTATTTATGCTTTTAATTTTAAATTGGCTGACACACAACTCAATGCCTGCACATCAAATCCAAGTCTGTGCTCAGCATATGAGAGGCCAAAGGTCACACTACTCACATCAAATGTCATATCCAGGAGGTTCTTGGGGATCTGCATGATACCCGAGTCCCCCAGCTCTCCTGACACACACACCCAGGGGTTGGAGGTGGTCATGGCGTTGCTCAGCTTCTTGATGGGGATAATGACGACTCGATATGGGATCACTGAAGGGACAAACGTGTCAGTGCCAAAGTTAGTGCACAAATGCCTGTGTGCATGTTTACGAGTAGTGCGTGTAATTTATATGATGAGGTTTAGCAGGTGTACAAAACTGAGCTGAATAATACTTTTGCTGTTTTTAGATGCAAACTTAGAGCAAATTAAAAAAGATACATATGAATCCATTATTCAGACAATCTTCTTATACATGTACTAGATATACATACTCTCCATCTTCTCTTATTGTCTGCAAATGGAACATCCCATCTGAGACAATACGAAGTCACTCAATGTATACAGGATTTAAGTTTGCTGGAATATCAAACCATTACACAGCTGAGTCCAGGATGAATAGCAATAAGGTAATGTAACCTTATTCTCATACTGATCTCATCCATCTTGTTTGTAAAAGACCTGGAGTTGGCCAGGAGGAGAGAAGGGAGGTCGCAGTCAATCACCTTCTTGGCCGAGTGAATTAAGTGCTGCAATCTGACCCTCTCCTTGGCAGCGTACCATTCAATGATGGAGGAGGTGAGGGTGGACTTGATGATGCAGTGTAGAAGTTAACCATCTTTGGCAGGTTAAACAGGTTAAACATTTTCAGCTGCTGCAGGAGGTACTGTACATTCTCTGCTGTGCTTTTTTGGTGAGGGAGCTGATGTTCACCTCCCATCTTAGGCCCTGGGTGATGAAGGTGCCCAGGCAGCGGAATGACTCCACAGTGCAGCATCACACAGGGTGATGTGGGCGGATGGGACTTGGCTCTTCCTGAACAGTCATCTCTACTGTTTTAAGAGCATTGAGCTCCAAGTTTTTGTCACTGCACCACGTGACCATGTGGTCAACCTCCCGCTCTGGAGGTGCAGCTGTTCGTGTACAGGGAGAAGAGCAGAAGAGAAAGAACAGCTCGAGGCCTGCCAGCTGCAGTGCAGAGTCTGGTGTTGATCCACAAAGCCACGTCTCCGTAAAACACAACGACGAAGATAAAGAAAAAGTCTCTCGTTCTAGCCATCATTAACTGAAGTTCTTCCAGTTTATTACCCATTGAAAACATGTTGGAGAGAAATTATGCACGACGCACAAGCGCCCCAGCATGTCTCCCCCTCCACCTTGGTTTGACTGAGTGACCTTTGACCAGAATGTCCAGTAATTCTACTGATTAACAGAAACATGGAGTGGACGGTGGCTGTGATTCTTCATAATTCAATTTAATAAATTCAATGCAACTTAATTTGTCGCCCGAGAGCAATTTAATGACACAGAGCATGTCAAAACAAGAGTAAAAACCAGAAAGAAACAAGATGACATCAGTGCAATGTCAATGACAGTTAAAAAAAAGTGCAGTATACTAAAATAAGTCAGAGTGTATATGAATGTAAAAGGATGGTGAACAGGATAATGGCTGTGAAAACAGATAATAATAATAATTAGAAGATAATAATTCTTAATCATCATTGGTTTATCAAGCCTCAATAAGTGCCCTAGCTGCACACTCTACATCCAGAGTCACAGGGGCCTGTACTACGAAACAGAATTTGCAGTTGCGGCTTGAGATGAGAAGTATTGGGGGAGAAAAATTTTTGAGCCATCTTTGGCTGCAAGGATTGAAGGACATTATTTTAAAGCTGCAAATGGATTCAGTTCATAAAGGAAGAACGACGTTTAAACAAAAAGTCCCAAACCAACAGAGAGTGTTTTTGTTAACTTTAGAGTGAAATGAGAACGACTAGGAGATGCTGTCCACAGTGAACCATCACTGTATTTTTATAGCAAGGTGAGCGTGTTGCTCCGAGTTTTGCTCTCTTTGTCTGTCCCACTGTCTCTCCCCTGTTCCTCATTGTCTCATATTAGTCATGGAACAAAAGGTTGTTGAATATATTTTGTCCTTTTATTCAGGAAATTACAGAATTATGGTTGAAAGCTTCTCTTCAAATTCCAGATGATTATGATAATATGTTCTGGACTAAAATCCCCTGTATTATCTTGTTGCTAAATCAAATGCAGAGTATATTGTACACTGATACTGATATCATCATGTATCTGACATTCTCTTATTAACCCTGATTGATCTTGAGATCTAACAGATCTTTAATGAATATGCAGACGAAGAGGACCAAAGGAAATTAGTTTGTTGCATGCTTAGTTTATCAGTTTATATTTGTGTCCCGTTTTTAAAGAATTTATCCTGAGCCATCAGTGATGTGATTTAAACCTTTTTTTTGTACCTTCACGCATTTTCAATGGCTTCATGGCTTTACTAAGTCCAACACTGATGAGCCACGACATGTTTCATGTACTATGTTCAAAATTGAGATTGCTCAATAGTTTTCAGTATTCAACATAAATAATGTCAGAGGTGGCGTGTAGCTGAGGGAGAACTCACTGATGGTGGTGAAGACGCTGGTGAAGCAGAAGTAGTCAACGGCATTCAAGGACAGCAGGTAAAAGAGGAATTGCTCCTTCTCCTCCTCACAGCGCAGGAAGGCATAGCGCTTGTACAGCTTCCTGTGGGCACAAAGCACACAGAAGTCAGGTCACATTCAAATGATGGAAAACATAATTATCCAATGTTTCATCTGCTGATTGACATCCACTCTCCCAAAAACATGCAGCAGCCACTCCGTCACAGTCACACTGAGCAGGGGTTAGGGTTGCTAGTGAAGCTTGCACCGACACAGAGACACATCTGTACAGGGTCATTTCATTTCAGATTTAGGGACGTCACAGTTTTGATATAATACTGACATAGTCCTTATTTCTGCATTGCTGTGATTGGTTTCCATTGACTAATCTTTTCAAACATGCAATATTAATAGTGCAGGAACAAGACAAAGAGAGTGAGCTTGAGCTGGGTGGATCATATGGCATGCTCACTTGGTTAAGGCTTGTCGGGACAGCAGCTGTTTGAGGTGCTGAGAGAGCAGCTTCTTTTCCAGGGACAGACGTACCCAGGCTCTGGCTCGGCCTACATCTGTCTTAATCTCTGACATACTCTGGATATGACTGAGGAGACAGATAGAGTGATGAAATCTCATGAGAACAGGGACAATGACATAAAAATGTTACTTTGATTAGTGATTTCCTGCTTTTCCTTGGCTGATATTGTGAAAACACCAAAATCAATCAGTGAAAATATATGAGCCCAAAAGGAAATTTGTGCCAAATGTGAAAGGATTCTCTTGATGCCTTCTTTTGATAACGCATAGCAGCTCACGGTGTTGTGAGCTCACGGTGACTTTGACATTTGACCACCAAATTCCATTCCGGTCATCCTTGAGTCCAAGTGAATCATACCAGATGTAATGAAATTCCCAATGATCAGTCCTGATTTATCACAATCACAGGAACTTGAGGTGACTGTGACCTTGACCTTTGACCTTCAGGCACCAAAATCTACTCAGTTCATCTTTGAGTCCAATTGACGATTGGTGCCAAATTTGAAGAAATTCATTCAAGGTGTTCCAGAGATGTTGTGTTCAAAATGTGTTTTTTGTGTTTACAGTGACCTTGACCTTTGACCGCCAAATTCAAATCAGGTCATCCTTGAGTTCAAGATAATGTTTATGTCAGATGTAATGAAATTGCTGACTGCTTAACATATTCACGTGAAAATGTATACTTGATGGTCATGATACAGTGCTTTAATACATCACACGTGGTACAAGCCGCGATACACCGAGTATATTCGATATATCGCCAGCCCCTAACAGGGATTCACCGAATTTTTACATTTAAAGAAACTGAGCTGAACTGAAATGCTGTTCCTGACCTGGGCACAGCAAATGACTGCACTGTTTTGAACAGATAGATGGAGAAACATGTATTTACTTGTGATTCTGAATTTCCAGAACTGCACAAAAAAACAATTGACACTCAAGAAAAAGAGAATCTGGGATTTTAGAGGACAGCAGCATGTACCTCATGTCCTGTAGTAGAGAAACATGGAGTGATGGCATTGATATGGAACAGTCAGACCTCCTCTCAGCAACACGTGACACTGTCAACGAGAAATACATAATATGATGCACGTGTGACGCAAGAACACAGTGTGTATGTGTGTGTGTGTGTGTGTGTGTGTGTGTGTGTGTGTGTGCACTTGTACTTTGTGAGGACCAATTTGAGTCATAGACATTATGGCGTGAGAAGATTTAGGCCGGTCCTCACGACTTCACACAGCTGTTTGAGGGTTCATAACTGATTTTAAGGGTTTAAGTTACAATTACGTTAGGTTTAGGGTAAGGGTTGAGGCAAGGCATTTAGATTTGATGAGGCGTGTCAGGGGGCTTGTTTCAGAAAGCCAGTTCCCAACTCGCAGTCAGTTTCTATGGCAATATACTCCCTGAATTTAACCTCCTCGCTGGCAGGTTTCCATAATCCAGAGATTTTCCTGTTCTTTAGCTGAAGGAGGTGTCAGATATAGTTAAAGGTATATATATATATATATATATATATAGCTATAAATGTCTTTACACCTTGTGCAGCTGCTTCACACACAGCTGACACGATGTCTTTTTTCTCCTGTAATGGACTGGTTGTGTTCTTCACTAACATATAATGAAAGATCTGCGGAGTAAACACATTTAGAGCTGCATGGAGGTCTGTTATAGCAGTAGACCAGACAGATTATATCATCAGTATCTGTTCAAAGATGAAGATCACACAGTGAAATTGTAACTTCACCAAGGAAACTGGCCCACTTAATTTGAATTATGTTTTATTATAACTATGTGCAGGCCATATCATCATTTTTCAATTATATAAATCTGAGTAAAGCACAAATTTGAAGATGCTGCTTCTAAATAATATTTGATGTGGACATTGCTATGATTTTTTTACTATGTAACCACTGAATGCTATTTTGTTAAGTAGGGTAAGCTAAACATCACAATGGCAAGTAATTAAATTGTACGTGTTTCATCTTCAGTTCCTGCCAAGCACATTTTATGAGTATTGGGCTCCATGTCTCTAAAAATTAAACATACACAAACACACACTCATCTGCGTATATAGATACAGATAGATTTAGATTGTAAAATTTTAAAATTTGAGTAAGTGGAACACTCAGGAGAAAACTTTTTTTTTAAAATCAAAACCTACATCAGTTTCTTATCCCTGCTTTGTGAAAAAGGACCCAGATAAGGGACAAGGGAATTCAAAGTCAAATAGTGTCCTCACAAACACAAGTAAAATAAGTTGTGTGTGTGTGTGTTTGTGTGTTACATGATGACTCTGTGTGCTGCTCCTCTCTGGCCTGGTAGTGCAGCAGGTGGGACCAAAGGGCGGATTTCCCTTGTTTGACTTGCAGCCCGTGACTCCAGATCCTCTCCAGCAGGTCACAGAGGCTGGCGATCAGAGTGTTCTCCTCCAGGCCAGTGATGTTGGCCTCACCATGACCCAGCTCCACAGCTTCCCGGCCCATCTTCTCCACCAGCATTCGCTTGGTCTGAACACACACATATTCAGAAAATGGATTGATGGATAAGGGAATAAATAAAACTTAAGCTTAGCCATATATGTATACTATAGTGATACATCTCAAGTCATTTATAAGTGTAGGAACATTGCTGTGGTTGTTTCACCTTCATACGACACTCCTTGAGTAAACCTTCCACAAACTTCCAGTTGGTCTGGGCAATGACCGCAGGAGACAGATCAGAAAGTTTGGGCAGCCGAAGGTTCTTCCCCAGGCTGCGGGCCTCCTGCATGTACTTCTGAACATGAAACATCAGACGGAACAAGTCAGTGAGCTCTACAGAGCACAAATCCGAACGCTCATCTGAGTTTTTATTTTGCATTTGAAGTAAAATGTTTTTATTTATATTAAGTACACACACATTAAACACATTAATCCAAATGTAATCTGATTTGAACCTGCTGTGTCTCGCTTGTTTGCCTCTGTCTGTCACAAACTATTCTGTGAGTTCTATTTGTGAAAAGGATTAAACCCATAGCAACCAAATTCTCTGTGTGAACATGAATTTTCGCTGACAGTGAAACTGAGAAGCTGTGAAAATCTCAGTGGAGGAGGTCCATGTGAGGTGACAGGAAAGGTTAAGACTTGGTTTCAGGGTTAGAAATAGGTTAGAATTAGGGTAAGGGTTAGGCATTACATTGTGATGGTTAAGGTTAGGGTAAGGGGCTGGCGAGTGCATTATGCCTATGGGTGTCCTCACTAAGATAGAATTACAATAATGTGTGCATCTGTGTGTGTGTTTTCACTGTGAATTTTTAGACCCATGAGTTCATCTCAATGGAATCCCTGCGCATTTAGTTCCAGATCTACTGATGACACAGTGCCTCTTATATCCTTGATGTTCTTATCAATGCCATTGTTTAGAGTAATGACAAATACCACACTATCCAATTTTACATCACTCCATAAATACTCAGCATGTTTTTTTCTTTCTGCATTTCACATTAAATATATTTAACTGGTGAAACATAGAGTGGCTTTTATTGTGAAGTAGCCACAGGATGGATGAGGCACTTGTCACGGAGGTGAAAGCTGTCCACCATTGTTAATAAAAAAGATAGTTTTTAAATATGTCAGAGTTTAATGGACCAGCCAGTGTTAAATGGAAATCTCCAGTTGTGGGTGGAGGGGGGGGGTCTGTGAAAAGGATTACTCAACACAGGCAACTCCTTCACATACCAGGCAGGATGAAGAGGCAGATTTTTTAGGAAGTTTGATAGAGAGAGGGGGAGCAATGTCCCACTCCCAAAATGCCATGGAGTTTTGCAGGACCAAACAGCCCTCAAGCATCTGAGGAGGGAGACGAATGCAAACGGAACCGAACACACATGCAGACAGGAGAGGACGGAAAACAAAAGGAAATGAAAAAGAAAGCAGATAAGGCAGCATGCACATGAAGAAAAAAGATTATTTAGAACTGAAATTAAAATATAAATACCATGCGACACAGAAAATAAATAGCTTTAGGGCAAGTAAGGCGAGTGGGCATATAGAGGACGGGTTCTGAGAAGCTTTTCTACCTCTTTCAGGTCGTTATCAACATTCAGATGCTCTGTCTGTTGTATGTTGTGGTCTTTCCTTCGCTGTGCTGTCGCCGTCCTATGGAACCACCTGTACATCAGAAAATGTGCAATATGATTATTTTTACAACTTTTTGGCCAGTCGACTGAAGAAACCCCACAAACGCTGCTTCACTGTGTTCACTTGTTCACTGATTCTGGGGAGGAGTTGGTGACACTTCTAACAAGCGACAGATGGGAAAAGAGCAAAAAACGTAACAAATTAAAAGAACACACCTACGAAGATGCCAAGAGAGTTTGTGCTGATAATAGCCGAAGACAGTGCCTGTGAAGTGACCTTGGGTCTCTTGAAACGCACTATACAAATTCAAGCTATTATTATTTATTGTTATTGTGAAAGGCTAACTGACCAGAGAATTGGGTCTAGACTTTATCAGCAGGTCATGTCTGAAAACGGCTTCAATGAAGAAAGGTAGGTCGACTCACTTGCTATTGATCAGCCCAGTGTTCAGCACATCAGCTTGCAGTTTGGGGAAGAATCCCTGCTCATATTTGCCCTGGCCAAACTTCATGTCCAACAGGTGGGGGTGGATGGCTATGTGGTCAATCTTCATGAGCCGCTGCTCAATGGCCTGAGCTGCAGGGGAGACAAAATATGTTTACTACAATCAAATACTTTCAGACAACACTGGGAGTGAGAAAACTCAAACTTAGTTGCATAAAGTCTCTAAAAGTAGAGTAGGAGCCAGAGCTTTCAGATATCAAGCTCCTCTCCTGTGGAATTATCTCCCAATTTCAGTTCAGGAGGCAGACACCCTCTCTACGTTTAAGAGTAGGGTTAAAACCTTCCGTTATGATAAAGCTTATAGTAAGAGCTGGTCCAGGCTTGTCTTGGACCTGCTCTTAGTTATGCTGCTATAGGTTGAGAATTTCGGGGGACACACAACACACGGTTCTTCTGTTTCCTCTTCTGCCTTCTTATCACATCTAAGAAATGAATGTCTCATCAATACATGTTACTGACTTGACTTCTTCCCCGGAGCCCCTATGTCTTATAGTTTGCAGATCCAGGGCAGATCTACGTTCTTTTTCTCTCGTTAAAAGTTTTTTTTTGCAGTTTTTCCTTACTCTTGTTGAGGGTTAAGGGCAGACACACTCACGCTCTGTGTCCTTCACCTGATTTATCTTCTTCTCACAACGCAGCAACATCAAACACACCACATTATCCTCTGTTGTATGTCAGCTAGTGTGCTTGCTGTTAATCTGTCTAAGTTCCCCTGATCCACTGATCGTGTTTTGCGTCAGTTGAATTCTACAGGAGCAGCATTATTTTCCATGGTTTAGTGAGAGGAGGCCGTGGAGAGTGTAGCCACAGTAGAGGGCAGGTAAAGGGAGAAGCGAAACTCCAAAGACAATTTCGTGCTGCTTAAAACATTCACGTGACATTTCGTACTCGATGGTCGCCATATAGTCATTTAATACATAATACTCACGTGGAACAAGCCGCGATATATCAAATACACTTTATCGACCTGGTTCTCTTTCCTTGTCACTAAGTCTCCCCAGTGACTTTTCCTACAATTGTTATCATGTTTCTACTGAACACGTTTGAATTCTAACACCTGGTCCTGCAGAGCTTACCAGACTCCCTCAGGATGGAGCATCTCTGGTAGTTGGAGGATCGGAGGCTGGGAGCACGCACATTGTAGAGTCGAGCCTTGTTGATGCGCCCATCAAAGACACGAAGCAGTGGCTCTTTCTCCTCCCACTGGGACATGATCTTGTTATCAATAAAGGTGGCAAACATCTGAGTCTCAATGAAGTGGGAGAGGAAGGGGAGGTAGGGCTCAGGCTGATCTGAGAGGAATGACGCCTGGAGCAGGGACAAACACAAGCAAGGAGAAAAACATTATACACAAATATACACGATGTACAGCCAGAGTACATATGTAAACAGGACTAATCGCAAATAAAGGCAACTTTAGATAGACAGGCACTAATGTGGGCAATTCTTATTGTTTTGTGTTTTCTCTCCTCTCTCTTCCTATCCCTTAGGTGAGCAGAGAAAGACCAGACTCTCCTACTGTTGAGCCTGGGATTCACAGTTCTGCTGTTTGCCAGATTAAGTTGGAAAGAGATCTTTACAAAGAAAGTCTTATTTTGTTTTTTTCCAAAGCATATGTAAATGTGAAATATGTGCAAATGTAGGGCACAAATCTATTCACAACAGCAGACCTATCGATTAGACCTCCATTACCTTATCGAAGTTGTGCATTTGCTCCCTGTTGGTGAGCCAGGACTCCAGGTCTGGCGCACTCTGAATGACAAATCCTTCATAGTCAGCAAACATGGTGGTGAAGCGGCTGGCGAATACTTCCCTCAGCTGGACATTCAGCTTGGCATTCCTTAGTTCCTCCTCCTCAGCTGCCCTTTGTCTGTCAATCCCCTGAGCTTTAATGCCAGCCCTAAGGGCATCCATGCGGGCCACTGTCACCCCGGTGCGTTTGGTCAGTGCATGCAATCTCTCCAAAGTGGTATTTCCCTGCAGCAGCTCCAGCATAGTGAGCTCCTCCCCTGCCAGGTTGCCATTACGCCCGTCATCCTCCAGTTGTTGAAGGGTGACAGTCTTGCACTCCCTGCTTGATGTGGAAGGGTTTCTGGGGGCACTGGTACGGGTTCTTGGTGGGGCCCCTATGTTGGCAGAAATTCCAAAGCTCAGCAGTACCTCACTGAGCTCCTGGATTAACTCAGTCTTGTTGGGGAACTGGGGCAAATCCTCTGGAAGCTCGATGTAGTGGTTGTCAATGTCCACAAAACACAAGTTGGCCTGGGACAGGGAAAGATAGTAATATTTGTGATCAATTATGATTTATTTACTTTATCCAGATAATATACTGTATCAAATGGAGGTTATCCATTGTCTTTGTGCATGACTCAGATCCAAAGACATAACATTTTCTCATCACTTGTGCTTTTCTCAACCCATTCATCGAGAATAACATCAATATCAAGGAACCCCTCAGAGGAAATGTGTCAGACAACATGCCAGCGTGTTGTCTGAAACACCTGCAGAACATCCTTATCAAGCTCTCTGCAACTCTAGATATTTTCCTCTCTGCTGCCAGCTGTCTGTGATTCAGTCACAACTACACAGAAAAGAGAGCACAAGAGTTTCTAGTCATGATTTAGCATCCGTCCTGTTATTTATCATTTAGCTGACGCTTTGATCCAAAGTAACTTACAATAAGTGCATTCAACCATGACGGTGCAAACCAAGAACAGCAAGAATCAAGTAAGTACAATTTGTTTCAAAAAAGTCAACCCACAAGTGCTACATGTGAATGCAATATATAAATGCAACTAAACGTTTTTTTAATTACAAACACCAGAGTTGACGATGGTTATAAGACATCATCTTCTTAACTAAGGTGTGTCAGGAAAGCAAACAGTCGTGATTTTATTGAGTGGCTAGTGGTCCCTTGCAGTGAGGGAGCAGCAAGCCGATCTTCTGTCAGGGTCACCAGAGGGAGAAGTCTTCAGTCTAACTAAAAGCAGCATTCTTGAGTAAGACTGGTGCGGCGGAGAAAAGAAAAGAAGACTTTTTTTGCTGGGTTTTCAAACCTCCATGTATCTGCAACCCTGTAAGCCTGAAGAAATGAATTAATGCACTCGGCTGACCTACTTAGTGGGGTGACTGTGTTGTGCTAAGGGTTCGAGCAGTCGAGTGTTGGATGAAGGACGCCATTAAAGTTACCCCCAAGTTGTGTCTATCAAGGCTGGGGAGGAGCTGAAAAGAACTGCACATCTATACTATTGAACAACATTCCTCGAACAAAAATATATCTCTCTGTGTAACAGAAAGGCCACCCCTCTTGCTTAACAATTCAAATTAGAATGATATAGTACACCCCACCCTCTTTAAACTGCTCTGGTCTTTCTTTAGCAGGTGTGTTTCTTGTAGGTATACAACATAAGTCTGCAGTTTGCTGAGATGAAGAAATACTCTATTACATTTCACTGGATGATTAAGATCCCAAACATTCTAGCTCACAACCTTCAACCCACCCCTTCCCAAGTTGTAATTGCTTCTCTTCATCTTATAGATATTTCTAAAAATATTCTCAGTGTGTTGTTTGGCCCTGCAGTGATTTGCATGATCCAGACACCCATAGAAGTTGCTTATGCAATTCCCAATAGTGGGCACAACCAAGTTGGTAGTGAGTCATTTACAGTTCACAGAGGTCCTCACAGCATTCTTTTACCTCCTATTGGCTGCTAGCATTAGCATTAGCTTCTTTGGCTTCGGTGGTGCGCCCACGCTGGTTTTTCAGCATTTTCTATGGCTATCTCATAAAGCTTCCATTTGATTCTCTTGCCCAGTGTGCTTGATGTTCAGTTCCTTCTCTTCCCCCTTGAGCGAAAACAGTACTTAGTTTATTTGCCAGGATGGAGGCATGGTTCAGTCAATTTGAGGCGCCGCTCTGCAAAATCACCAACCCATTGAGGGCTGGATTCAAAACCCCACTGAAAATCTAAGTATATCAAAGTATTCATTTGAAATCACGGGCTGATCCAACTTTTCATCGCAGCAACATAAAGCTGTGACTACATCGTGGATCATGGTGGCAGCTGATAGTGGATCATATGATTACAACTAGGTTGCCATGCCATGTAACATGCCTGCCCACATATACTACTATTGATGACAATACCACTATCAATACAACATTTATTGTTGCTTGGCCTTTTTGTCTCTCAGACTATATTGACAGAACCTGTTAATACTTCAAACATGGATACGTGGAACATGGTCCAGGGAGTGGGATCCCTAACTTGCAACTGTTTCTGTTTTTTCCCCCTTAAGAGGTTTTTTTGTTTTCCTAACGGAAAGGATGTCGCACCTTTTTAAGCCCGTGATTGTGATTTGTGAATATGGGCTATCAAAAATAACATTTGATTGATTATTTGGCACATCCTCACTCACTCTATTGATTTAGATGTTACCATCCACGCAGACAATCAGATCTCATAGTTTCAGCTACAGTAGAGCATGTGGCATCCAATACAATTCTCTCTTACACAAGAACTTGTCTTTCACTCTTTAGTCTGTTTACCTGTCACTCGGAATCGGTTGTACGTGTGAGCGACGTACGTGCACATGCACCCCTGCTACCGCTATAGATAGGATGAATTCTGTAGGAAACACTGAAAGCCACATCATATCCCCTGACCAAGTAGTAATCCATCCAGTAATTTTTGTGTAATCGTGCTAACGCACAGACAGACAGAAAAACAAATGAAAACATAAACTCCATACCTGGAGTAATTAAACACAAGAAGGTTGGCTGCATACCTCCTGAGGAAGTTCCAGTGTGGATCGGTCAGTGCATTCTTTTGACTGCAGGCCCATTAAGTAGGGAACAGGAGCATCCAGGAAGTGGAGCAGAGAGGCTGGCAGGATAGGAACATAGACATGCTGCCACTGAAACGGAAACAGCAGGGTAGTGATGCCCTCTGCTACTGTCATCAACCGCTGGTAGTCTGAGAGGGAGACAAAATCATGATGAGGGAATAGATCTGAAATAATCTAGAATTTCTGCAGTTTTATCTTATTAAAACTTTATAATCTGATCGGAGGAAGAAACACTTTATCTCTAAGTCGTAGCCCTTAGGAGTTCTTTATTATTATTAACTAGTTGTCCTACTGTTAAACTTTTAAGGTCATAACAGCTACATTACTTAACTGATTTTGGCTAAACAGGGGGACAATGTTGCATGTTAACTGGGTACCCAAACTGTAAGAAGCACTATGTAATGTAACTCCATCATTTGATGAACTTGTCAACTGCAGGCTAATTGCTCTTGCAGCTTTTTTTTTGTAAATGTGACAAAAGATCTGTGTTTTATATTTACCAAAAATGTAAGGACAGGAAAAACAAAAAAAACTAAAATGTATCTAAAAATTCAAAATGTAATTTAACATCTTATCTTTACTTTATGTTTAAATTCAAAAATACAAAAATGTTTTAGTTTACTTTACTACCCTGTGTGAGGGGTCTTAGTCCTCCCTCTTCTGACAAAAAAATGCTCTTTAAACAGTCGGGTCCAATATGTCATTTTGCCCATCCCTCCTGTCTGGGTGTTTGTGTTTGTGTGTTTGTGTTTCGAATGACTGTGATTGGTGGAAATGCCTTCTAAGCATAGAGAACCTATAGTGACCTTGAGGTAACTTAAGAGGCATGCTCTAGAGCAGGTGTTTGGTTTGTCCGTTTGGGGCTACTGCAGAAACACGGCGGACTCTGTGTAAGAGGACCTGTCCCCATGGATGTATCATAAGACCGATGCTGGACTGAAAATGGTGCCTGTTCAGTCCAAGCTTTATTTTAGCCTAAAATCACATTGGAACCTCAATATATCATAACCAGCCAAAAACTTTTATTTGAACTGTTATATGATACATAACTCAATTTGGCAGATAAATTAAAACTATTACAATACTTTACATAGCCCATAATTACTTGTGTTTTGATTTTGAAAACATATTCATAAGGAACCTCTTTTTTAAGTCATACAATGCATTAATTATTCAGGTAACACTTTATATTAGGGAACACATATCAACCATTAACTAGTTGCTTATTAGAATGGATATTAGAGGCATATTGGCTCTTTATTAGTCATTATAAAGCACTTATTAATGCCTTATTCTTAATGACCTTATTCTGCAACTACTCCATTAATTAACAGTTTTCCCTTAATAACCTCCTTAATACTTCTTATTGATGGTAAGTAAAGAAGTTGTTGTACATGAATTACGATGAAGTGCTTGGATATGTTCACTCTGTGTTCCCTAATATAAAGTGTTACCGTTATTCATGATTTCCTGTTATTGAGCACTTCAATCTTTTTACTGTTCTGCACAGCTTTGTTCTTAATTCATGATTGAAACTGAGCCATAGGTTAAACACAAGTAGAAGTTCTGAATCTTAAGCTTCTTTAATTGTACTTTCCACCTAATTTGAAATGAGCCACATATGAGGGGGAATCATTCAACTATTACAAGCTTTCCTTCAGTCCAACACTTAACAGCCCTATGAGGCAAATTGTGATTTGTGAATATGGGCTATACAAATAAAATTGGGATATGACTAAGTTTTTGAGACCAGGAGGCAGAGTTGCAGTCTAGCTTCTCTGCACGTCTATTGTGGTTCCAAGAGTCTGTAAGAGTAGAACAGGAGGTAGAGCATTCAGCTACTAGGCTCCTCTCCTGTGGAACCAGCTCCCACTCTGGGTTCGGGAGGCAGACACCATCTCTGTATTTAAGGTTAAACTTATAACATTCCTTTTTGATAAAGCCTATAGTTAGTTCTGGATCAGGTGGGTCCTGAACCATCCCTTAGTTATGCTGCTATAGGTCTAGACTGCTGGGGGAGCTCCCAACATCCACTGAGCACTTCTCCCCTTCTCTCTGTCTCTCTGCCCCCCCACATTCCTTTATTTATTCTAATACAATA